TATTTGAAGTTCGAAATGGATACTACAGCCTAAGACAGAAAATTGTCACCCACCCAATATAACGCCTATATTCGGTATTTTTACGATTATAACAGAATTTTGTAAAGATTTTAATTTTTGAAAATATCCAAATTCGTTCCAATTAGTGGAGAAAGTTCTACCGGACAAACTTATTGCTTTTTAACTTGTAATATTCTCTACTATACATTGTCATTCCGTTTGTAATCCCTCTCTTAGACCCTATTAAGTACAGGCATTCTTGATCAGCGTTAAATTTAAAGTCAATTTAGCAATATCTGCCCGTCTTTTGATATCAAGCTAAGAAGAAGGCTAAGATTTTGAACATATTTGTATTTTATCTGTAAGCAGGATATGTTCGTAAATGTACCAACATGACGTAATGCCTCATTTCGGGGCTACAATTCTACAAATGTTGCCGAAGATCACTCTTAGTCCGAAATAATCAGACAAGGCTGGGTTTTTGGGAATTCTTATTAGAACGGTACAAAATTAATAAAAGGAACGAACCGGAAAATCTAAAACTCTTAAATTTGGAAATGTGGTCACTGATGGAGTCTATAATGGATGTACCAAAGGGTTTTTGGAAATTCGCACTATACGTGTATTAAAATTGAATATTTTTGGTTCCATTTCGTATCATGTTAACGCATAGACCTAAAAACTTGAAATTCGGAATGCGAATCAAGGTTGAGTAGTATAGTTGATGTAAGGAGGTAGTTTTGGAAGTGTGAGGTCTTGTATACGAAACGGACTAAAAGGTACTAAATTTAGTACAATTTGAATTTAGAGGAACGGATGGAACTGCAATCCTGAAATTTGAAAATAACAATACTGGCGTAGGATTGGGATATGGAGGAAGGTTTCGAAATTTGAACGGAAAGTACTAAATGGTACTAAATTTTGTACAATTTCGATTTGGGTGAAAGGAAAGAATACTGAAATTTGGAAAAAAGATTACCATTGTATTATAGTACTGAGGTTTGTAGGTAGTTTTGGAAAATGGGTCTTATGTGTACTAAATTTGGTACAATTAAAATTTTGGGAGAATCAATAAAGTTGGAATCCTGAAATTTGAAAATTAAATTACTATTGCATTGTGGGATTGAGGCATGTAGGTAGTTTTGGAAATTCGTACTTATGTGTACTAATTGGTACTAAATTTGGTACATATTAGTTTTAGTGTATATAGACCCATTATATAGTATTATGATCTGCAAAATAATATTATAGCCTACCGCCTTGCCTATCCAAAATGGTGCAAAATGTGCTAATATCTCTTGTAGTTCCGAAGATATTAGGAATAAAACTCATGAAAGTAAGTTTTTCCCCACGGCTGGTGCTTGAGATATTCTCCTTTGGGAATGTCTATATCTGGGGTATGTCCTACGGCTACGCTACCCATAGTTTTTCTAAATTTTTTAACTTTTGGAAGTAGCAAGTCTTCGACCGGGGCTTGGGATTTTCTCCTCTAGGGTATGTCTAAACCGGCTACGCAATCCATATTTTTTCTAAACTTAATTTAAGCCTTGTTATCTTTCTGGGGATTATGTCCGAAAAATTTTCGGTCATAATCCCCACAGCAAACTATCATACTCCCCATATAATTATGAGGGTTATGAACAAAAAAATCGGACAGAATCTCCATAATTGCAATGGGGATTATGTCCGGGCATCCGACAAAACTTTCGTATTCTAAACATGGACGCTTAACAAGTATCCTTAAGATTGTATAGCCGGAAACCTTTGCGAAAAAATAGCCCATTGGTTTACTGGCCTTAACCTCCAAACGAAAATTTGACAATGTTGAACATTTGAAGATGTTGTGTGAAGATGAAAAATAAACGGAAATGACATAACATTTTCAGTGCCATTGCCCAGCGCTCTCTCTAATAATACTTGGACTAATCGGAATTTTGATATTCCACTACTTTTCCGATGCGTAATCAATTTTCCCAGCTGAATCTATAACTTTTGCGCAAACTTTCTTCTACTTAAAATCTTTTTCTATTGATCTACTTAACTCCTTTCATTCAGAGGAACACAATGTGAATTAAGGCTCCGAATATGAATTATCTAATAAGAAGGAACAAAGCACCTCTTTGAATAACCTAAGCTTTAAATTACTTCTATTCTCAGTAGTAAATTTTTAATTAGGTCATGTACAAATTGATATTTGTAAAAACAGATGTCAATTGTCCTTATAGCCCCAAGTGTTCTCCTACAACTACACGCTATTATCTCTCACCCCAGATACAAAAGTCCATCCAAGGGCACAAGTGGTAAATGTCTTCAGTACTAAATACTTTTTGCATTCATTATCTTCTAGATTCTATGACAGCAATTCCCTTGAAAATTTTCAAATGTTATTATCTTACTGCATCTCCTCCTTTACTTCCTCTGCTGTCTCCTTATCAGCAAAACTATTCAGATTTCACATGCATCCAGAGACTCATAAAACACTTATGATAATTAACAAAGGATAATGGTTTTTTTTTTGCTAGCACTGAAACTATTCACAATTTTTCATCTTTTGTTATGCGAAGCTATGCCACAAAAAAAGGAAGAGAATAAAATTTAACTGTTGGAGCCATTGTTTGCATTTGAGAGTATCATTAATTAAATGAACTTCAAATTTATTGTCTCCCGAACAAGATGATAAAGTATTTTTTTTTTTTTTTTTTTGTTCTAAACCAATTTGGTTTAAATATGAGTCACAGATTGTATAGCATAAATTTTAAGTGCCACCACTGGGAATACAACAAAAAAAAAACAGTAAAGAAAGTCCTAAAGTCGGGTGGAGCCGATTTTATAATACCCTACACCACTTTGCTAATTTAGTTGAACTCCATATAACAACTTAAAGTTTTTATGGGAGAATTTAATCATACACCCTATGATTATAAATTCAAAGGACTAAATATGCCGAAGTCTTTCGGACTTGTATTGCCAATTTGGTGCAAAATTTATTTTAAATCAGATAAAGATATATATGGGAGCTATATCCAAATCTGAACCGATCTCGGGCAAAGATATTTCTGAGCTGTATTTGATATATTTCCCTGAATATCAATCTTACGGAGTGCATATTACGGCTGTGTGTAACAAATACAACAAATCGGATGAACAATATACATGGGAGCTATAGCCATATCTGAACCGATCTTCACCAAATTTGACATATTAGCTTCTAGACTCAATTCGGTCGTATGTGCGAAATTCCATCCCATTTGGGCATATATTAGACGTTTGGTGCACAATAAAAGGTAAATCGGACGAAGTTATATATGGGAGCTATATGCAAATCTGAACTGATCTCGACAAAATTTAGCAAATGTATTTCTGAGATGTATTTGATATATTTTCTCAAATATTGTTGTTACAGAGTGCATACTACGGCTGCTGAGGACAAAAATAACAAATCGGATGAACAATATATATGGGAGCTATAGCTATATCTGAACCGATTTCGATCAAATTAGGCATACTTATTTTCAGGCCTAATATGGTTGTATGTGCAAAATTCCATACTATTCGGGCTGATATTACACGTTTGGTGCACAATAAAAAGCAAATCGGACGAAGATATATATGGGAGCTATATCTAAATTTTTACCGAATATCTCCAATTTCAAAAGGGTTCGTCCTTGGGCCAAACAAATGATTTGTGCAAAATTTCATCTCATTCGGATAATAAATGCGACCTGCAGTTTGTTCACAAGGATACATGGACAGACGGACGGACGGATTGACATGCATAAATCAGCTCAGAAAGTGATTCTATGGAGATCCTCAAAAGTAACTATGGGTCTATCTCGTTTCCTTTTGCCTGTTACAAACAAATGCACAAAGACATAATACCCTGACCACCTTGTGGTGTAGGGTATAAAAATGGAGCTATTACAAGCAGGACATGAAAAGATGAAGATGTAGTAAGTAAGAAAAATTAGCTTTTCCACACTGACGGAACTTGAAAAGAACTTCAAAGTTATATCGGAAAGGCCCACCAGAAAAATTAAAAAAAAAAAATCCTGTATTAAAAAATCTTGGTTCCGCCGTTGCTGTGCCCCCTAGGTATAACATTCCCCATGTGAGGTCGTAGCTTCTTTAGCCAGAATCTGTGTAGGATTTTAGTGAAGTACGTTGTCGTCAAATTTGTTATTATAAAGGTAATGTTCACCTACCCTGCTGTTATAAAGCCACCTGCCTGGCAAGAATTAGACTATTTGTTGATCTTCTAGAGCCTTAGGGAACTTTAGTCATTATTCATCACGAACAAATGGGTTTTTATTGACGAGCTGCAGAACGTCTCCATAGAGGAGCTTAAGGAAGGCTCAATAGACGAGCTACAAGAAGTCTCAATAGACGAGCTAAAAGAAGTCTCTATAGACGAGCCTGAAGGGAGTCTCTTTAGACGAGCCAGAAGGGAGTCTCTGCTGTTATAATCTTCTATCTTCTATGATCTTCTATAAAATTTCCCATATTATCGTTTAAAGTGACTCCTTTCCAATCATAAATTAAGGCTGCTTCAGGTCACCTGTGCACACTCCCTTTTCGTCCTGTATATATTTCCTCTGACCGATTGTAGAAATAACCCCTCAATAGTCAATAAAAGCCCAAAATTAAAAAAATGTTTAAATTTTTCCATTGAATTTTAATTAATTAATTTTCCAAAACATTTTTCACATCAAATCCAACGGCTGCCAAAAATCTCTGGCAAGTCCACCATAGGTTCCAGGGATTTAACAGCAGCAGCTTGCGTAGCTACAAAGCCACAATTGTGGCGTAGAAAATGTTTTGTAATTTCTAGATTATTGTTGATGGTTTTACGGCGTTCCCGCCTAACTGACTTTTTTTGGGTAAACCTTTTACATCGTCTTTCCACAGCTTGGGTGATATTAAAATATTCCCATGGCTTGAAAACAAAAGCCAAACAAATTTCCCCAAGAACAATAAATCTATTCCGGTTGTTTAATACTTACCGACAAATTTGTGTAAATGTTTTGGGTTTTTCCGTTTTTTCTCCTCCAGTGCTTTCAACCAGATGATGAATGTCTGGGGACACTATGTTACTCAATTTGGCGGCGAGACAAGTTAAGATTTGTTGAGTTACTGTTTTTTTTTTGTCGGTTGGATGGTTGGCTGGTCGGGTCCTTTGAAATGTTTTGTTTGAAAACAGAAACCAAATCACGGCTGAGAGACCTTTTTAAATGGCTGCCTGTAAAGAGAGTTAACAAAGGCAGGAGGAAAACAAAACATTAACACAATTTATTGTGAGCGTTGTTGGTAGTTGTTGTTGTTGGTGGTATTGTTCTATACCCTACACGAAAAGATGTGAGCCTAACGGAGCTGTAGGCTTTATGGAGCAGCTGAAAGCAGTCTTTATACAAGATTTGAAGATAGTCATAAATGGGCGGAAAAGAGTCGCCATAGACGAGCTAAAGGAAGGCTCAATAGACGAGCTAAATGAAGTCTCCATGGACGACCAGAAGGGAGTCTCTGTAGACGATCCAGGAGGGAGTCTCTATAGACGAGCCAGGAGGGAGTCTCTATCGACGAGCCAGAAGGGAGTCTCCATAGACGAGCCAGAAGAGAGTCTTTATAGAAGAGGCAGAAGAGAGTCTCTATAGAAGAGGCAGAAGGGAGTCTCTGCAGATGAGGCAGAAGGGAGACTCTATAGACGAGGCAGAAGGGAGTCTCTATAGACGATGCAGAGGAGAGTCTCTCTAAACGAGCAGAGCAAAAGGGAGTCTTTATCGACAGGCAGAAGGGAGTCTCTATAGACGAGCGGAAAGGGAGTCTCTATAGACGAGCCAGAAGGGAGTCTCTATAGACGAGCCAGAAGGGAGTCTCTATAGAAGAGCCAGAAGGGAGTGCCTATAGACAAGCCTGAAGGGAGTCTCTACAGACAAGCAAGAAGGGAGTCTCTACAGACGAGCAAAAGCGAATCTCCATAGACGAGCCAGAAGGGAGTCTCTACAGACGAGCCAGAAGGGAGTCGCTATAGACGAGCGGAAGGGAGTCGCTATAGACGAGCGGAAGGGAGTCGCTATAGACGAGCGGAAGGGAGTCGCTATAGACGAGCGGAAGGGAGTCGCTATAGACGAGCGGAAGGGAGTCGCTATAGACGAGCGGAAGGGAGTCGCTATAGACGAGCGGAAGGGAGTCTCTATAGACGAGCGGAAAGGGAGTTTCTATAGACGAGCCAGAAGGGAGTCGCTATAGACGAGCGGAAGGGAGTCTCCATAGACGAGCCTGAAGGGAGTCTCCATAGACGAGCCTGAAGGGAGTCTCCATAGACGAGCCTGAAGGGAGTCTCCATAGACGAGCCTAAAGGGAGTCTCCATAGACGAGCCTGAAGGGAGTCTCCATAGACGAGCCTGAAGGTAGCCTCTATAGACGAGCCTGAAGGTAGCCTCTATAGACGAGCCTGAAGGGAGCCTCTATAGACGAGCCTGAAGGGAGCCTCTATAGACGAGCCTGAAGGGAGCCTCTATAGACGAGCCTGAAGGGAGCCTCTATAGACGATTCGGAGGTCGTCTTTATTGACGATTCGGAGATCGTCTTTATAGACGATCCGGAGGTCGTCTTTACAGACGATCCGGAGGTCGTCTTTATAGACGATCCGGAGGTCGTCTTTATAGACGATCCGGAGGTCGTCTTTATAGACGATCCGGATGTCGTCTTTATAGACGATCCGGAGGTCGTCTTTATAGACGATCCGGAGGTCGTCTTTATTGACGATCCGGAGGTCGTCTTTATAGACGATCCGGAGGTCGTCTTTATAGACGATCCGGAGGTCGTCTTTATAGACGATCTGGATGTCGTCTTTATAGACGATCTGGAGGTCGTCTTTATAGACGATCTGGAGGTCGTCTTTATAGACGATCCGGAGGTCGTCTTTATAGACGATCCGGAGGTCGTCTTTATAGACGATCCGGATGTCGTCTTTATAGACGATCCGGAGGTCGTCTTTATAGACGATCCGGAGGTCGTCTTTATAGACGATCTGGAGGTAGTCTTTATAAACGATCTGGAGGTCGTCTTTATAGACGATCTGGAGGTCGTCTTTATAGACGATCTGGAAGTCGTCTCTATGAACGACGTGTAAGGTCGTCTCTATAGACGACGTGGAAGGTCGTCTCTATGGACGACGTGGAAGGTCGTCTCTAAAGACGACGTGGAAAGTCGTCTCTAAAGACGACGTGGAAGGTCGTCTCTAAAGACGACGTGGAAGGCCGTCCCTATAGACGAAGTTGAAGGTCGTCTCTATAGACGTCGTGGAGGTTGTCTTTTTAGACCACGTGGAGGTCGTCTTTTTAAACGACGTGGAGATCGTCTTTTTAGATGACGTGGAGATCGTCTTTTTAGACGACCTGGAGGATGTCTTTTTAGGCCGCATTTTAGACGACGTGGAGGACGTCTTTTTAGACGACGTGTGTGTCGTCTTTATAATAAAATTTCCTCACTATTGTAATGAGAAACTTGTTCGACTTGACGGCCTTCAACCGCTTTTCGCCTCCTTCTCCTACCCCTCCATAACAAGGCTGTCACTTTTAATGAATGGAGATTTGCAAAGAAATATTAATATTTATTGTGTGGAATTTAAACAATTTGTCAAAGAGGCATTGTGACGGAACAAAACAAAAAAAAAAGAAGAGTTAAAAGAAAAATTACACAACAATTAAATTTTGAGCGAATCCTTGAAAAGGAGCTTTCAAAGCCTTTTATAATTTTTCAAAGAAATGTGAAAAAAATAATCCATTATCAACAATTATCCTTTCAGCATTTGCTCGAGATTCGATTGAAAACAAATTGCCATAAGATCCTGCAACGTTGTATGAGGTTATCGAAGGATAACACGTGTTTGTTTTCAAAATGGTGTTGTTGTTTGTTTTCATGCAGCGTTTGATTAAAATATAATTCGGAAAATAAAACCCAATAATGAATCATACTGTGAAATATAATAACATTTATTTTATGTTAAAAAAAGAGGAAAAATAATAAATGAATGAACTGTAATTAAAGAGGAGGATTTTTTTTTTCGTTTTTATTGGAAAATATTTCGATAATTTAAGAAAATTCTAGAAATCCCTTAATTGAAAACAAGTATGTTGAAGATTATGGCCTTTATGTGCACCGAAGACTGCTAGGAAGCCTTCAACATTAGGGCGTCCAAAATATGTGGGAGTTCGTTTACGTTTACAAGGCCCTCTGGAGGTATTCTACGTGTAGAATATCATCAGAAAAACCAGTAAGGAAAGCTCAAAAGTCGGGCGGGGCCGACTATATGATACCCTACACCACTATGCATATTTAGTAGAGCTCTCGTAAAAAGGTTTATACAGGGCATTTCAGAGCTCTATGAGATATTTGGTACAAAATCAAAATCTATCTAATTCTATCGTGCATTTTACGAACTATAGCTATCTCTGAACCGGGTTTCTCCAAATTTTACGTATTATCTTCTAGACTGGTGATTTGGGCTGATATTGACCATTTAGTGCACATTTAACCCGAAATCGGATGAAGATATATATGAGAGCTATATCCAAATCTGAACCGATTTCGATAAAATTTAAAACAGCTATTCCTGTGCTCCATCTAATACCTGGTACCAAATATCACGGTTGTGGAGTGAATATTACGAATGTATGGGACTAAAACTCTAAATCGGATGAAACATATATATGGTTGCTATATCTATATCTGAACCGATTTTCACTAAATTTGATATACTTGCGTCTAGGCTGAATTTGGTCCGATGAACTAAAATTCAGTCCATTTGGACTTATATCGGCCATTTGGTGCACAATTAACCCGAAATCGGATGAAGATATATATGGGAGCTATATCCAAATCTGAACCGATTTCGATAAAATTACAAACAGCTATTTCTGGGCTGTATCTTATATCTGGTACCAAATATCATTCTTGTGGAGTGCATATTACGAATGTGAGAGGCTTAAACACCAAATCGGATGAAAGATATATATGGGAGCTATAGCTATATCTGAACCGATTTTCTCCAAATTTGATATACTTGCTTCTAGGCCGAACTCGGTCGGGTGTGCCAAAATTCAGGTAATTTGGACTGATAGTGGACATTTGGTGCACATTTAACCCGAAATCGGATGAATATATATATGGGAGCTATAGCTGTTTCTGAACCGATTTTCTCCAAATTTGTTGTATTTGCTTAAAGGCTAATCTCGGTCACATGTGCCAAAATTCGGGCCATTTGGGCTGATATTGGCCATTTGGTGGTCAATTAACCCGAAATCGAATGAAGATATATATGGGAGCTATATCCAAATCTGAACCGATTTCGATAAAATTTAAAACAGCTATTTCTGTGCTCCATCTAATACCTGGTACCAAATATCACGGTTGTGGAGTGCATAGTAGGAATGTGAGGGACTTAAAGATCAAATCGGATGAAAGATATATATATGGGAGCTATAGCTATATCTGAACCGATTTTCTCCAAATTTGATATACTTGCTTTTAGGCCGAACTCGGTTGGGTGTGCCAAAATTCAGGTAATTTGGACTGATAGTGGATATTTGGTGCACATTTAACCCGAAATCGGATGAAGATATATATGGGAGCTATAACTAAATTTGATCCGATTCTCACCAATTTCAATAGGGTTCGTCCTTGGGCCAAAAAAATATTGTTTGGAAAATTTCATCTCAATCGGATAATAAATGCGACCTGCATTTTGTTCACAAGAATACATGGACAGACGGACGGACGGACAGACGGACTGACATGCATAAATCGACTCAGAAAGTGATTCTATGAAGGTTCTCAAAAGTAACTATGGGTCTATCTCGTTTCCTTCTCCATGTTACAAACAAATGCACAAAGACATAATACCCTTACCACTATGTGGTATAGGGTATAAAGACCACCACAAAGTCTCCCATGTTTAGAGATAGTAAATGTGAACAAAATTCATTCATAAAAGACTTCATGTACATTTACCTAAATTAATATTACCCCCATGCCCCTCCCCATAGAGATAATGTATGCGTGGTTAGCTGTTGGTCATTTTACATCCAAATAAATAAAATATAGCATTCATTACATATATATACACACACGTTACATATTTTCATACATACACACATACATATGTATGACGTCTATGACAACACCCCCTTAAATATTTGATATTTTGACACATGTCAGACCATAGTGTGATTGATTTTG